ATTTAGATTTTTCTTTTTAAACATAAAAGCTATTGGAAAGGGAAAATGTAGTTGTTTCAGATGTCTGCTGAAGTTCTGAGTAGTTTTTTTGTTTTAACTTTATATGTCTCTATTTAGAAGACTGGTTATTCCACAGAAATGAATGAAAGGGCATGTAGGTATTCTGAGAAAACAAACCAACCGAAGCATTCTGATCAGTGTTCTTTAAAATGAGCAGTAAGAGCTCCCTGGTGAATAAAACAGAACTAGAAGTACAATTTTGTGCTTCACAGAGCTTTAGTCTTCTTCCTGACTTGGAACATGGGAAGAAGAAAAGAAGTAAAGAAAGATTTTAAAACATTGACACTTTCTATAGTATTAGAATTCCAGAAATAGTAATTACAGGGAAAAAAAAAGAACTCATCACCTTTATAAAATAGAGCTGAATAATTTTTAACTATTCTAATGATTTCTGTAATTTTAAGTACACGTTCTTTTAGCTTCCAAAATATAAGTTTAGCCAAAACCTAAAATTTCAAAAGAAGATACAGGTACACTTGATCCATCTACCCAAGATATAGCAACACACATAAAGTTAATCTGTAAATGTGGTTTAATTGCCTTTTACTTTACACTGATGTGATTCAGAAGGCACAAAGAAGCTTCTTGATTAAAATAAATTGGTAACATGATAAAATAAATCTATTTATGCTTGAAAAAAATTCTCAGGAACACTGGACAATGATTTTAGATGGATATTAAAAAAGTATAAATTTATAAAATAAAACAACAAGAAGGAAAGGAAACCTTTTAATATGGGTGTGCACCACAGTGTTTTATCTCATAAAACTGGGATCCATATAGGCCAAAATTATTTCAGCTTGATTTTGATAAAGTTAAAAAGTATTTTAGTTTCAAAAAGCTTCCCATATCAAAATTAGGTTTTAAGTTAATTTCCTGTATCAAAACATTTAAAAGCAGTTATTTTAACCTTGCCTCAAAAAAATTACTAAGTTCAAAGTGCCTGCATTGTAAAGTCTATATACATATTTTGATAAATTATTTATTTCTATAAGAATTATGCCATGTTTCTCACTGTCAGTATTACAGTAGTTTCTTTATGGCTTAATCTGTTCTAAATTCTCTGCAATGTTTTTTTTTGTTTGTTTGTTTTTGTTTTTTTTTTTTTTAATATCACCGTTTATCTTACAGTTTGGATAGAGATCACGAGACTTTTACAGACACCATATTTACCATATTTGTTTAAGCTATGAACTGTGATTTGGATTTATTTGCTGAGGACAACTTTCTGGTTTACCATCCCCTTTCAGAAATCTTTCTTGTGTAATGTTTATCTTAGACAGTTAAACATGAACTCTGCTTTTCTTCACATCCTAGTTTTCCTTGCTCTGTAAAACCTACATGGTGCAGACTTACTGTTTTAGCAAGTCAACCAGGAGCAACCCCACAACCCCGCACAGCAGGCTAGAAACCAGGGAACCTCTAATACATTTAGCGTCATGCTCAGTAGCTCTAGTGCACAGAGAATCAGAGAACCTCCTGAGTTGGGAGAGACCCATCAGAATCATCGAGTCCAACTCCTGGCCCTACCCAGACACCTCTACAATCCCACCCGCTGCCTGGGAGCGTTGTCCAAACACTCCTGGAGCTCTGGCAGCCTTGGAGCTGTGGGTTAGGGTTAGGGTTAGGCCTCTGCTCTGGGGAGCCTGTCCAGTGCCCAACACAAGAGTCTGCAGAAAGAAGAAAAGGCAAGGGTTCAATTCATTAAAAACAGCCCCAGGAATGGGTATAGAGTCAACCATAGGGACTATCTTAGTCCTTGTTCTAGCTGACACAGTAAAAAGAACAAGTCCATGTGTAAACTAAAGTAACACTTCAGCGCAGAAAAAAAAACACATTAAAAGGATGATTTGAGATTGTTTTGGTTTTTTGTCTTGTCTGCAAGTTCTTCAACCTATTCCTTGTCTGCTGTCTAAGCCACACACCCATGGCAGGCAATGTATTTTAAAAACTGTATTTCATAGTGAATGTTGAATAAATGGATTTCTGTCTCAAGGATGCATTTTCCTTTTTCTTGGACACAATGGCTGCTATCCATGGAGGTCTTCTTCCTGCCTCTCACCTTCAGAAATGGCTACTGTAATATTCAGAATCATCTGTGTTATAACTTGCCATATAAAAATCCATTCTCTGGATTTGAGGCCTTTTTGCTTCCTTTTCTCTCTGAAAGAAGAAGGTTAAGATTCTTAGGATATTGCCTGAAATCCTTCATAACAAATGAATATTCAAGATGCAGTCTAAATCACATTAAAAAAAATGTGCTCTCTAATAAGATTCTTGCGGTTTGGTCAGAAATTTAACAAAAAGTCTATGGAAATGGTCTATCTCCAAAAGGTTATTAAAAGTGAATTTTTCTGAAGAATGACTTACTAATAGGGATAAGTATAAACTATTCAGCTAGACAACACTGATTTCTGAAAATCCTAACATTCCAGACTATGACCTACTGAAGTTAAGGACAGATACTAGAAGAAGTTTAGCCATTTGTGGAAAAAACAGCTTTTGTGATTCCCTTTTTGTGAAGAGATGTAAGACTAGACAGTTAAGGATAGTAACTGTTAATAATGATGTGATTTAAATCTGGCTGTTTCCATATCATTGATATGGTTAAAGAACACGATAAAGCAGAGGTACTTTAAACGTACTGCTTTGCCATTTATGAGCACACTGTTACACAGGATTTGTGACTTCAGCCACTAACGCCCAATATTAGATATTTTCCCTGAGACGAAACCCAAATTATATGCATGTTTGTAAGATGGTCCTATTTTAGCAATGATTCAGAATGTAGAGAAGTCTTTGTACTATGTGGTAGTATTGAACACTATGTCTTAACATTTCCTGATTTTGTATATTTGTAATTAAACTAGTTGTTACAGGCTAGATCTTTGATCCATTATGCTGAATAAAACAAACAAAAAAAAAAGCAAGTTCATGAACTCAGGTGATAGTCCAATTTCTTTTTTCTGTGAGCTAGCAAATGGCTCATAGAGCTCATAGATTGTTCATAAAAGGTCATTGCATCAACCCTCCAGCAATACAATTTGTGCATTGCATTGGACAGGGCTAATGCAATGAATGCTATAACATCTTAGCATTCCCAGTAAATCATGTTCTGATGTTAGCAAGACAGAGTCGAAGACCTCTGAAGTTTTGTATTGGATGGGGCTTTCCCCACTTACCTTCTAACTAGCTTCTAAAAAGACAAGCATAATGCCCTTGGTTAGTGGTGGCTGTGATCTATCCTGGCTGCAGGGAAGGCCGTATGCTTCATCCTCCACATTTACACAGACACTTCACTAGATCTGTGAATAACACTTGATTTGTGCATTACTAAAACACAGAATGACGTCTTTAAGGATTGAATTTATTATAGATCTAAGTGCTCTTTCTATAAGTGCTTTGGTTTGCTAGCCAGGAAAAAGAATAACTGCTACTGCTGGAATCATTCATGAACCCATTCTAGCTGTCCTCTTCTCCTGGAGAGACTTATGCCAAATAAATGGTATTGTCTGGGGCAGTAGGCCTGCTTCTGGGTGCTATAAACAAGATTTTCCCAAGTCCAATAAGCATTGCTCTTGGCATGATGGTGAAAGGCAACATGCCCATCAGCAAAAAAAACCTTTCTCTCCATATCAATTTTTGTTCCATTATTCCTCTTTTCCCAGCTCAATTGTACAGCTCTTCTGAGCTCTTCATCTTTGTCTCCAATTAAATAGTACTTTGTCCATTATTTCTCTGTGTGAGGAAGTGAATAAAATGCAATACAATCCAAACATATTTAAAAGCATGAATGGAAACAGAATCAAGGATGTTGCTCAACATAGCAATTGGATGGTCTACAATTTAGGTGCCACCTGTCTAGTTTCTAACCAGCCTGGCTGGTCTTACACAGGTCTCAGATCTGTCAGACCTATTAGACATGGACACACTGAATTTGTATGTCTTGTAGCCCCATGTAAGGGTATCTTGATTGTGTTTTTCTTCCCTTTTTAATTTTCTTTTTTCTTTTCTTTTTCTTCCTTTTATCTTCCCTTAAAGAATAGCCAGACTGCTACTGTTGCACACTCCTTTATTTTAATTGCAAAGCATGATCTATGGCACTTATTGTGATACTGGGATTCAGGAAAGCCCTGCTGCAGACTGATGACAGATGGAGATTGGATCAGTAAAATACTGAGGCTCATGACAGCTGTGATACAAGTCTAGACCCGTTAGTAATAACATAACCTGTCTTCTTCAGGGCCTGGCTCAGAAGCACACTGTGAAGTCTCTCCCACTTTCTGTAGTGGCCAGGGACACTGGAAATCATAATTTGTTTAGGATTGCTAATCTAAATGCTGTGATTATGTGAAGACTCGGCATTTTAAGAATTTGAGAAGATTATCTCCTGATTTCCAACATCATGCAACATCTTCCCCTCAAGTAAAAATTGCTGCCAATGTCTATTACTGTCAAGAGGACATAACTGAGGCCTCAATGCAATTAAAATGAACGAGAATTCTGTTGCTTTGCCGTTGAGGGGGCTCTGTCCAACATCCCCATCCCGCCGCGTCCTTCACAGACAGCCGGATGTACGCGGTGACGAGAGACGGGGGGAATTAATTTACAGGGTACAGGCAAGGAAGAGAATGTGACAGAGACAGAAAACTCAAAGAGCGTGATGCAGTTTTCAGGCTGAACGTGGAAGACGATTCGGATGTCTCCGGCGATGCTGCTGGGCGTACTAAAGGGAATCCTACCGCTCCCAGGAGGGTTTTCCAGCTCCGGCCCGCCCACAGCCCTCAGGCTCCGCTCAGGGCTCCGCCCCCGCCGCGCCCCTTCCGCGGGACCGGCCCGCGCGGCAGCAGTTCTCGCGGGAGCTGGGAGTGGCCGCGCCGGGCAGTCGGGCGGTCTCGCGCTGCCGCCATTGTGTTGCGGGAGCGCCGGGAGCGGGCGGCTCGGCCCGGCCCGGCCTGGCCTGGCCTACGCGGCGGCCCGGCCGTGACGGTGAGTACAGACCCCCGCGGTGGGCCCGCCTGCGGCTCGGGCCGCGCCTGCTGCGGGGCCCCGCATGCCTTGGCGGCCTCACGCCAGGGCCGGGGAAACCATTTTGTGCCGTGCTGGGACCGGCCCATCCGCCCTTCTCTCTGCCATCGCCGTCAACGGCTGCTCGGCTCCGCGCCCGCTCATAGCGAGGCTTTGTGACACCTGGTGCCCCCTGTTCCTCTCCGCCCTCCTCGCGGCCTCTCCCCAGCCGTTGGGGCCGGATGCTGCCTGAGTAGCGGGACCGGGTGCGGCCGCGGGCCCCGGCCGGGCCCGAGCCGTGCGAGCCGCTTCCCGGGGCCTGGCGAGGGAGGTGAGATGCCCTCGGCGGCTCTGCAGAGCACCTGCTGGCTGCGAGAACAGCCCAGCCTTAGGGCACCAGCCGCGGCAGCGTGGGCAACCATCGACATTTGTAAATATTCTTGCTCCTGAGAGGTCCCCGAGAGGCTCCCGAGTTATTTGTCAATTTCACTACGTTGAAGGTTGAGAAAATAGCCGTAACGAAGAATTGCAGAGTCTGAGAGAAAGACTCGTGAGCTCTGTCTTGTTTGTCATAAAAACGTGATTGTGAGTAAGCTCCGAGGAAGACACGTGAGCATGTTTTCTCCCGAGGTTGCTCGGGAGAAAATCTTATGAATAGTTGTATTTCAAGCTACACAAAAACATGTAGATATGAGAGCTCGAGTCTTAGGTAGAAGTGTAAGTGCATAGTTCCAAGCTAGAAGAATGAATTTAGGAGCAGGCAGTGAAGCTTATGCTTCTCTCTGATGAAGGGTACAAGATTGCTTAAAACTGGTAATAATCATGGAAGCTGGCAAACACTTTACTTACTCTTAGACGTGGTTACCTGAAATTGCTCTTCTTTTATTGATAGAGAGGGTCAAGGCAGAAGAGAAATATTTGCTGTGTTTTGTGAATACCTTTTTGTGAAGGGGTATAAAAATGGACAGTTAAGGATAGTAACTGGTTTTGTCTTTTGAGATTGCATTGCTTTCCCTCAAAGACCGCTTGGATCTTTTATCACTTCGTTATGTCTATCCGTGGCTGTGTTAGGTCTAGTTCGTCTTTTACAATGCTGTTGGAGGGATGACAGATCAAGGAAGGCAGGACATTTGATCTGTGTGCTCAAAATAGGCTGTGCAGCTCCGCCTCCTTTTTTCAACTTGACCATCTGTTTCTCAGGTATGACTAAAAACTTTTATTTCAGAACTTGATTTCTGCCCAAGTTTTGAGAGGTATTGCATATGTCCCTTATTTCAGGAGGTTCTGGAATTGTTTCAATTGTTTTCATGAGGTTTTGATTGCTAAGTAGTGTAACACGGCATAAGTTGGTGAAATATGTTGCTTTGATAAGAAGAGTGCTGCTCATCCTGCTGTACATGTTCTCATTTTTCTGTTGTTGGGTAGGAGTGTGTGTAGTGTTAAAATCATGGAGAAGCCAGAAGTGCATTTTTACTGGTTGATGTGTTGAGGGTTCTCAATGAAGGCACATCAGGTGTGATATTTGAGTAAGGTGTTTCTTTGCTTTTTGGCAACAACAGGCTTTTTAATCAGTTCAGACTACAACCCAATTTCTGGTTCCATGATAATTGTTATTATTTCCTCAGAGAAGAAATTTAAGTATTTTTTGGTCTCACTACCTTCTGCATAAATTGAGGTATCTACTTTGTCATTACAGAACTTGCTACAGCATGTTAATTACCACTTGGGGTTTGTTGAATTCCTATGTGTGTAAACAAAATGTTTAAGGTTTTGAGTGTTTTTCTTCAGGAAAACCCTTAAGATAATGATATTGTAAAAGGGAACCATTCTCATTCTGAAATATTGTATACAAGCTCAATATTCCCCTTGCAGAGAAGTATTGTTGTGGCTTTAATAGTGTGGTTTGTTTTTTTTTAGCATGAGAGCATTGTATTGCTCTGTCCTGTGCTCTGTGATAGCTTAGCATGTTAGCATGCTCACCTTATTTATAACCACCTCATTGTGTTGCCATGATCAGCATAAGCCTTGTATGTGTTTTGTTTGTATTCAAGCCACCTATAAAGACAGTTGCATCTCAGGCCTTTAAGGTACAGTGCCTAAAATGGTATTCAGAGAACTCTGGGGAAAAATTTCCAAAACCCAAAAGACATCTTAATAGTGTTGATCACTAGAGGTGAAATGCCTAGATCTAGTTTTGTCTATCTAGTAAATGGATGTCATGGCTCCGTTGACTTCAGCTGCATCTCTGTCCATCTGGGTAAGACTATGAGGTAAGGCTGAAATAATTGGGGTTGTTTCGCCAGGAGAAGAAAAGCCTCTGGGGAAACCTCATTGCAGCCTTTCAGCACTTAAAAAGGGTCTGTAAGAAAGATGGGGACAGACATTTAGTAAGGCCTGTTGTAATAGGACAAGGAGTGAATTTAAGGAAGGCATTTTTTATGATGAGCATAGTGAACCATGGGCACAGATTGCCCAGAGAGGTGGTGGATGGTCTGTTCCTGGAAACATGGAAGGTCAGGTGGGATGGGACTCTGAGCCATGTGATCTCCTTGAAGATGTCCCTGCTTATTGCAGGGTGGTTGGACTAGACAGCCTTGAAATATCCTTTCCAGTTCAAACTATTCTATGATTTCTCCTAGTTGGATTGCAAATAAATTTTATAACGGATGCCCAGAAGTTGAAGAGCTCTCGGGCAGCAGAGTTTTAAAAATGATTCATCTTAACAACATGCTTTATGTCACCAAATCTTTATTGAAAGGGAAAGGTAAAGTCTGATTTCCTTGACCTGAAGTTCTTTGCCTAGATCATAATGCCTTTTATTCAGCATCTTTTCACTTCTGCATCAGACATGGCAGATGTCAAATGCCTATTCTTATGTTACTCTGATTGATCTTTATAGCAAATCCTTCTCATTTGCTGGCTGAAGCAAAGACTGCAGAAAAAAATTAAGGTTGTATGCAGGAAATGAATCACAGTTTGTATACATAAACTGACGCATTAAATTTTGCCTTTCCTATTGTGCTACCTTAAGTTGGTTTAAACACTGTTTTTTGGGTATAGTTTCTGCAAGATTTCTTTACTTGTAGAAAGAAAATACTCTATAGGTAGTATTATCCTGACATATTTGGATTGAAATCACAACCTGTGCCAATTTACAAGATGAGGCTGATGAGTAACATTGTCTGTCCTCTTGGGGCTACCATTGAAGGAGAAAATTAGTCTTGTGCCTATTTATGTATGTCTGTAGAAGGAATTTGCTAATTTTGGACTCGATTTCATCTTTTGCAGGTAGTTGGCTCTGGTGTCCAGTCTTCCACACCATCCTGTTCTGTATGAATGCTCTTACTCTGTTCTGTGGATGGTGCATAAGCAATTTTATTAGTATTAGATGATGTATAATTTAGTCTTTGAAGTTGTCTTATGCTTCTGTCTACTCTGCTGACTCATCTGGGCATTAATTCCTACTAATAGAAACTTCCATTCCTTCTAGAACCTTTGCGTTCTCCATGTGTGTCCGTGTCTGTCTTTTATCTATGCTATTTAATTCATCTGGTTCCACACCTATCTGAAACAAAGTGATTCAGAAACAGAATGATCAATAATAGAGGAGATAATGCCAGCACTCTTTGTTGAGTACTTAATAGTACATACTTGGATCATTATTTTGAGTGTTGGTTCCTTGTATTTTATATCAGGGTAAAACACAGACAAACAGTGCTTTGACTATCAGATCTCATCAAGACATACGGCTGTTCTGTCCAGCCTACACTAGCCTATATTATTGTGATATTATTTTAGTTTTATAGTTTGCAGCTTTGATAGTTACTTTTTTTACACTCATTGCAGCTTCATACAAGTACTAAACTTGTAGAGCACATCATGGCAGATTACTCTGAAGGATAAATTATCATTACAGTTTGAGAATGAATATGATTGTTACGTTTTACTGAACTGATGATCCACTTGAGTGCTGTAGTTTGGATAATTAGGCTTGTAATCAATTTCTTTTAAACTACCACAATCAACTGGTTTTTTTTGAACTCTGGACTGCTGCTTAGAACATTCTTATATTGATACAGATGTGCTTACAACTTGAGAGTTGCATAAGTTGCTGAATATTTACCAAAGGTTTTAAATATAATCTGGGAAATTAAATTAATTAATTATTCCAGTATATTGATGCGAAGTTGGGCAAGTGAGCATTTTAGATTCTTAACCAGATCTTGTTTACCTGGTGATGACTTTGGCAAACACGAACGGGTTATTGGTGTTGGAAGTGTGATCTAGAAGCAGATGTCCTCTGTAATATGGGCCAGTAGCTTTTTTGTACACAAAGGTAAACAGTCACTTAAACCTGGTATACTTTAGAGTCCTACTTGCAATATTAAACATTTTGGCTGCTCTTGTAAAGCTAGGTAACAACTAAACGTGCATGAGAACAGTGGTTAAGGAAACTAACCTCAGCTGTCCATGCTGTTAGGTTGATGGAGTTCTGTACAAACTAATTGGCTTTTACCAGGTAGAATATTTAATTCAGCGTGACTTGAGCAAAGATTAAAAGTCCTGAGTATGTGGACTCACCTTGAAACTGCAGCCAGACATGAAGTGTGTCAGGATTGATGTAACAGCTTTTTGCAGAATGTGATACTGATGGGCATGACTGAATTGTGGAAAAAAGGAGTGCTTTGTTGATGGATAGGGTTTTTTTTTTATCAATATAGTTTACTCCTGTTCTCAAAAGGGTAGGCCAGAATTAGAAGTGGTTAAATAGACTGTACCACTTTGGCAAATCACCCTGTACCACTGGGATTCTCTGCCATCTGTTTGTTATGTGTCATGCTATTGTTTATGTACCACACCATTGAGGATACTGCAGTTTCCTTAAATTTTTTTAAGAGCTAACGTTTGTGGTCTGCTTCTGTCTCTACTGTCCTGAGGAGGAAGAAACTAGCTGTCTTGGGTTTTAGGTAAACATTAAGTCAGATCCCATTTCAAGGGCAGGTATGAGTATAGGAGCACATCTCATGTGGAAAAGGCACGAGCATTTCTTTTGAAATGCCTAGAAAGAGCAAAAGGCAGATAAACAGTCAGCAAGCGAGAAGTCAATTTATGAATACACTTGTGAGATAACCTGTGCTCCCTATGTTAGCTTCCATGGGAGCTGTCTTTGGAGAAGTTGAAGGCAGATAGACTGCAGGTGTGTTTTTCCACAGGAGGGTGAAGTTTCACAATTTCAACCCTGAGGAATAAATCTGAATATAATTTCTGCAAGTGTTGAGATGCAGTTCATTAGCAAAAATGTAATATATTAATTTGAGAAATCTGAGTAATCTGTTCCTGACTCATTTTGCATTAATATGAGTACTGTGTGGTTCTTAAGGGAGTACCTCTTACACTTATAATTGCAAGAATATATCGTAACAAAATCATAAAAGGGACTGTAGTTTTCTGATGAGGGATGGGAGGAGATGTAAAGAAGGGGTTACAAAAACTAGGATAAGAACTTGTTTCCCCATTTTGCTGATGCAGTCAGACCAAAGCACTGTGTAAATATTTGTATGTGTGAGTCATATTTATGTTATACCCAGAATGATCTGTGTCTATTTTGCATGAGTTCCCTGCTTCCATGAGAAAAAAATGATCAGTATGTCCTTGTACAGGATACAAAGGATGGAGTCAAAACCCTCAAGAATTCCTCGCAGGATATCTGTTCAGGCTTCCAGCTCTCCTGTAGGATCTAGAACTGGAAACAGTTTATCTGGTGCATATAGTACAAGAGAATCTTCATGGAGATTAGAATCTGGATACCAGGTAATGTATTTTTTTTTCCTTTTTATAAAGTATAAATAATTTTAAAAGTGTCTTTTTTAACCAAGAAAAGCCCTAAAACTTAGCCAAAAAAATTTCTAAAATGCAAGAATTTACTAACCAGGCCAGTGACAGTAATCATTGAACTGGTAGTTCTAGATTTTCTGGTTTTACCTGCTCTTGTTTGTAGCTGCACCTTTAGAAATCAGCTGTTTAATGAATGAGAGGGCATTCTCATAATATGGATCTATTTTCTTATGAACCACTGCCATTCTAAATCTGGATAAATGGAGTTTTTTGTTGCGGGAGAGGTGAGGGTTTTGTTTGAACTTTGATGTGTGTAGGGCATTACACCTAATGTGTTGGTGATGCAAAAAGTACAGTATGTTGTCAGTAACAAGGCTATACCGTTCTGCAGCACCTCCTGTGTTTATATTTTGAAAAGGTACGAAGAGGAGCTTTAGACTCTGTTGTGGTTTCACCCTGGCCAAATGTCAGGCACCCACAACAGTTGCTCACTCATCCTCCCCTGCTGCAGCTGGGCAGAGGAGGGAAAAACTTAATGAAGGGTTCATGAGTTGAGATAAGGACTGTGAGAAAACACTCCAAGGGCAAAACAGCCTTAACTTAAAGGTATAAAGTTAATTTATTACTAACAAAATCAGAGGAGGATAATAAGAAGTAAAATAATCCCTGAGAAACACCTTTGCTTCTCCCAGCCCCTCCCTCCTTCCCACTGACAGTGCATGAAGACAGGGCATGGGGATTTTGGTCAGTTCCTCACCCGAGGTTTTCTTTCGCTTGGCTCAGGGTCCATAGTCCTTCCCCTGTGAGGCTGAGGGGTCCCTCCCATGGGAGACAGTTCTCTCTGAACTTCTCCATCATGGGTCCATTCTCATGAGCGGCAGTCCACCCAAAACTGCTGTGGTGTGGGTCACTCTTCCACAGGATGAAGTCCTCCAAGGACAGGCCGCTGGAGCCTGGGAGCAGGGGCCCTCTCTCTCCATCGGGTCTGCTGCTGAATCACAGCCTTCTCCAGGAATTCACCTGCTCCAGTGTGAGCACCTCCCCCATGGGTGGATCTCTGCATTCCCGGTGGACCCATGGGCTGCAGGAGGACAACCTGCTTCACCATGGTCTTCACCACAGCCTGCAGAGGAATCTTGGTTCTGGTGCATCTCCTCCCGCTCCTTCTCCACTGACCTTGGTGTCACTGTGTTGCTTTCCCTCACATGTTCTCACCTTCTAATCTGTTGTGGCTGAAATTAAAACTGCATCCCTCCTTTTGTTTTGATTTCTGAAATCTGTCATCACAAGAGGTGTTACCACCATCTCTAATTGGCCTAGCCTTAACCAGCAGCCTGTCCATCTTCAGAGCCATCAGGGATTTGCTCTGCCAAACATAGTGGAAGCTTCCAGCTGCTAATTACAGAAGCCACCTCTCTGGCCCCCAAGGTTTTTGGCAGCTACCAAAAATCACACTGTGCAAAACCAACAGAGACCCACATTAGCCTGTCATGTTAGTATGTTAGTACAGCTGGGCTTTCTGTGCACTACATGGGACTGAAAAAAGGCCTTTTGCCATTTCACCAGCAGCATTTTACACCAACCAAACTACTTTTGTGGGGAAGGGAAGCTGTTCTCAAGAGGAAGTATTCACACTCTGCAGGTACTTGCAGTTTGGGAGGGTATTATGGGAAGCAGAGATAAAACTACTGTAGAAATAGCAGTTTTGCTCAATTATCTTAGTACTTTTTTTTCTGCTCCTGTCAGCAGTTCTCACCTCAGTTTTGGGCTCAGAAATGTAAGCCCATTTTGGTCTTTGAAATTGCAGAAACTTAACTCTGTGATTAAATGTTCATATTTAAAAAAAAAATGGTTAGGAGTTTGTTCCCTGCTGTCAAGCTGTCTGGGACATTGTATTATATAAAGCCTTTTTGAGAAACAGTTTTACAAGTAGTAGAACATTATTTTTAGCACAATTAATTGTGTGTGTTACATTTTTGTTATCTTCAGCATGCATGTGCTTGTTATTATATAGGCTACAATATATAGGCTGAATGTACAAGGGGAAGCAGTTAGTAATTTTTGTATTTTGGAGTCCTGCATGTTTTTTGCTGTCTGGCTGCTCAGCAAAAGCAAATCGAACAATCTTACTCTTTTGTAGAGATATGTGGACACAGTCCACACAGTGTACATATACTGAAAGCCATTGATCAGAAGTCTTCAGCTGAACTGGTGCTGTTAAAAGATTTTGACACAACATATCTTTCATTATTTTATTTATTACATGAATTGCAATGTGTTCACTGCACTGTGTATTCTCTTGACTATTTCCTGTTGAGCAAAGTGATTCTCAGCTGAGGAATGATCTCATAACACTTGCCAGTTAAAACAGCAGGGAAAATATTTGTATAGAAGATTATGTTGTATCCCTTTTTTCCACTCCCAGTTTGTAGAAGGTAGTCTGAGAACTCATTACACAACACTGGTGCTTAGTGATAAAATTGTAGGAAGCTCCCTCTCTTGACTAACCTTTGGTATTTACAGAGCTGGAAGGAACAAATTGCCTTATTGCTGGCAGGTTAAGATTACAGAGCAAGAAAGTTTAAGTCCAGTCAGATAGGAATACAAAGGACAGGCATTTTCACTTTGTTAATCCATTAAGAAACCTACCATAAAGTATTTAAGATCTAGTACAGTTACAAATAATTAAAAATTTGTCATTTGGAAGAAAAACTTGGACTATCAGTAATTCTTTAGGTATAAGGAGGACTTGGATTTTTAATACAGAATTTCTATAGAGAGAACACTTGATTATAAGTTAACTCAAAAACTTCTGGGACAGATCAGTCAAATTTATATTTGGTTTTGATTAGGGCTAACAAATACGAAAGGTTTCCGTTGGATGGGTTTGTTGTTTTGTTGTTTTTTTTTTTCCATGCACATATCGAATTCTTGTATGTCATGCACTTTTGAGATCAATCTGGGTACTAGCCCCTGCTTATCTGAGGAGGCATAATGGAGAGGTTAATTGTAAACTAATCAGATGTATGGGATATAGGGTTGCTGCCAGGTAACTTTAAAAAATCGAACTAGTGTCATAGTATGAGGAAAAAAAATCCTATCCTTTACGATACAGCATAGTAAACATTTTATGACAAATGAATTATAAGTTTGTTTTTTTTCAGTGGAAGCATAGGGTCAAGAGCAGTTTATAAAATTGTTTTGAATGCTTTCCTGATAACATTTTTCAGCTGCTGAAAACAAACGCCATAACCAGAATACCTTATGTAGGGCTTTAATTGTTAAATTCTGACAAGGGATTTTAAATAATCTGAAGCTGAAATGAAGGAAGAAAACTAAGGCTGAGATTTTTGTATTATTTTGGTTTGGCTTTGAATGCTTTGTTGTTGCTTTTAAGAAATGGTGACAGCAACTACTGTGTTTGTAGTACTCATAGTTAATAGAAAGAGAATGGACAAATAATCACTCAAAAATGCTGCTTAGTATTAATAAAATGGTTGAATTTCTGTTATTTCTATTAATTTTGCTAATCTCCATTATTATTCTATGGAGCAAATTAAATTGCAGTATCTTTCCTCAGTTATGACCTATTCATTGAAATTCAGCTTGTTTTAGTGGCCAAAGAGGTGCTTTTGTTGTCATAGAGACCCTTTCTACACCTGTGGGGGTTTTTGCATAACACTCGAAATCAGGCCCTTAATTCTGCCCTGTTGCTGCAGTACCTAAGTCAGGCCAATGCCTCAAAAGCCTTACATTTTGACTTTTTATTGTCCTAGTTCAAAACAGAGGACAGATGAAGGAGCTGCTGTAAAGTACTTAAATAAAATAAAGCGAATAACAAGACTTTCCTTTTGCCAGTGGTTCTCTCTAAGCCTGTTTCATTTCTTGGCTATCCCTCAAGGTTTCTTAATAAATGTTCCCAGATTTGTTACTGCACCCACTTCCCTGTATTTTCAATACTCAGACCAGATACTGAATTATTTTTAAGTTACAAGATGCATATGATAATCACGTTTTTCTTCAGGAATCCAGTGTATTGAATAGTTCCAGTAGAGACTGGAGAATTGGAGAAAGGGACACCCGTGAAACTCCTTGGAAGCTTACAGCGTCGTCTCCAACGCGCTACTCAGGGACACTTGATCACCCTCATTCTGGAAGATTTTTGGGAAGCAGAAGCAGATTGGTGAGAACTGTTAATGTGTGATAATTGGGGAAAAATATTGAAACCCCAGGGTTTTACTTTAGTCTTCCCAATCTGAAAAGCTGCCAGCAGGGGCTCTCTGTAACATTTTCAGATAAGTAGATCTTACTAATTCAAGATGGAGCAAAAACTAGAAGATAGCAGTGTTTAAAAACATTCAGAGGATGAAAATAGTGATGTATATTAGTTTTACTAAGAGTTAAGAAATACATTTAAAGTCAGTAGCTTTGTAAAAGTCCATTTAAAAAGAAAAAAGGAGGGGGTCATTGGAATCTCAGACATGTTATAGTCCTGTGGATGGCAAAGTTCATATTACTTATACTTGCTCCCTCAGATATTTCCCGGGGGGGGATGTTTCTTGGGTGCTAGCTTTGTGAGTTAACACAATGTTCATGGGTTTGGAGACCTACTTTAGGAAATTTACTTGTGAGGTGTAGTTCATAGTCTGATTGTTCTTGCTTACAAGCAAAAGAATGGTTACTTGAGATTCAAGACTCAGGCCATGAGAGTTTGTCTTAAATGCGTTCTAGAATGTGCCTTGGTAACTCCAAGAATAAAGTAGTTTGCTTGTGGCATGCTTATGCATTGTAGAGTGACAGAGAAACACTTTAAAGCATGGTAGAAATATTAAGAAAAGCAGAAAACTGAACAAGTTTGGCAGGATGATAGAGAAATAAAAATTCTACTCACTTTCAAAGGGAAAGATGTTTGGGCTCACATCATTAAAGAGGTGTTGGTTTTCTTAGGTGAGTCAAAGGTGAAACACTGAGATATTGGAGGGTGAGGAGGGAAGAACTAGTGTGCACGTGTTGGCCTTCAGGGGAGGTCATGGTAGATGTCTACCTATAGTTTAAATGCAAATGGAATCTGTGCTTCTAAGTGGTCTACATATCTAGTTAAATTAGTGCTATGGTTTTCAAGGTAAAAACCCTTTTTTTCCCCCATTAAGGTTAATTATTCTCTTGAAGTAAATTCTAATGCAAGTGAACCTTGCAGAAGACACTCTGAAAATTCCACGTATCAAGTAGTAAATGATTAAAAAATAAGTGATATGTTAAATAGAAGACTAATAAGGGAAAGTGTTCTGGTTTGTACTTGGTTTCTGAATGTTGGTTTGTTTCCCTGTTTTTTTATGATGAGATGAGGGAAATACTTAAAAGACTTCTTAGTGTGAAAGAGTAAGAAGTTGTGGCTTAAACTTAGTAAAAACCATAACTAAGTAGAAATAAACCACAGATATAATGTCCTCTAATTTGGTTGATCTTTAAAGGATCTTGGTTGTGGATAGTTTCTGGGAAGACAAACAGCTCAATTCAGCTTTTTGATTGAGCTTACCTTTTTCTTTTTTATATGAAAAAAATGAACCTGAAGTATTTAAAATAGAAGATGAATGCCTTAACTGTAAGTAACCAGATAAACAGCTTTGTAGGCTATTCCAAACTTTTTTTTCTAGGTCCTATAGTGCTAGTTTTTGAGAACTGTTTTATTTCGGTGCTGTACACTGCAAAAGTTGCTTTGTACCTGTTCTTTTCTCTGAAATCCTTCAGTTGCGCTTAAGCTTGTTGTAATCAAAATATACTTGTTTCAAACAATTTTCCTGAGGCCCACTCCTTAGCTAATTATATTTTAGGTTGATAAAAAATAAGCTTTGGCCATTTCTGGACAGCAAGATATGTTCCCTTGGGGATCTGTAAAGCTACATTTGATTGTGTTTATAGCATCTTACAGGCCAGGAATATAATTTTTCCCCCTTTTTGCAACAATTTTTTGTTGTAAGCCACATCTATCTGGAAAGGAAATAAAATGTTGAATGTTACAGAAACTCACTTTTGTTGGTAGGACTGTATTGAGTAAACCTAGAAATACTAATCAAGAGCACAAGCATAATTCCTACTTTATTTTTGAAGAAAAGGTTTTGTATCTAATGTTATTCTTCACAATGTTTGTGAGTTTTACGTTATGCACACTTTTGTGGAGTATAAGTGCATCTGATGTACTATGTAATTTATTTTTTAATGTTATTTCAGTCTACATCTTCTTCTCATTTCACATCTGGGTGTTATGGTGAATCTGAGAGAACTCAGGGAGCATATCCAAGATTGCATAGCCAGCAGCAAGATAGTGATTCAAAGAGACCTAAACTATCTTGTACATCTACCTCTTCTGTGAGAAGTAATGGCTTGGCTGCCTTTTCAGGTGAGTGGTTGATTGCTTGAGCTGAGTTACATCAAAATTGTCTGAGTAGTAAGATGAGGTTTTACCAAGTTTTAAAAGACTTGCTTCAAATATTATGCCTTTATCTTTCTTAATTAATGAAAATTTATGCCTGTTTGAAGAGTATGTTCACAATGATAACAGCTTCCAAAGTTCCGAGTATGCTGTTTACATGGTCTTTGGAAAGTCCAGTTGTACTCATACCATTTCAGAATTATTACCTGTACCTATTCCATTTGTGGTCAAACTGAACTTCATGGCTCAAACAAACCTTCATTGGTTAGGATGTCAAGAAAAGAATAAGCGCAGCTGCTCTTATTTCATGAGTCAGATGGTGTTGATACATCAATGTGTGCCAGGGACAGCAGAAAGGAAATCTTTACCATACTTAGCAATATGTTCAAGCACAGCGTCATGGCTGGTTAGAGCACTGTTGTTAGGGGTCGGAGAAGAAAGTGTTCCTTTTTTAGCAGGGCCTGAACTCATTCTCTAGGTCCTGGCTAAAGAAACATTCTACACTAAGAGCTCTTTCAGGAAAACCTGAGACTTTCATTCAAGCTGTGGGTAAGTTCGTGAAACTTGGATAGACAGAATTTATGCAATATGCCAGCAGAAATCTAAAGCTCAGGAAGTAACGGTCAAAACCTTATGCTGAAAATATTTCTAAACCATTTTGATACAGATCATTAAATTAATTCAGATTACCCTTGTGAGTATGGATTAATGGGTTATTAAAAAAACCTTATGGAATTGCATAGATATCCAAATAAAAATTAATAAATTCTTGCTCAAACCTCAGTATTATTGATACTTTCTTACTGTGTTAATAAAACGACAACATTAACATTTCTTGTGGTATAGGACTGTTTATCTTTCCGTTTCTATGTTGGTTGGTTGTCACACTGCCGACCAATGAGTGCTTAAATTTCTTTTTCTAAGTTAGCAATGAAGTGATATCAAGGTGAATTTTTCAGAGTCATTGAAGACTCTTTTGGAACTAGAGTTTTGTCCCCAGCTGATGTATATAACAGCTTGCTATGCAGTTGTTGGAGCTGTTAGCAAAAACCAAGATCCATTTTTACGCTGAAGTGTTTTACTCTGTAATATGAACAAGGACAGTGCTAGTCATTGTTCTTAAAGTTGTGTCTAAACTGTATTTAAGCTTCATCAGCTGTTTTTATGAGAAACGAAATTTCATTTAAGTAATGTCAAGTAGAATGGCAGTATTTGCTAAGTCTCAAGCTGCTGTTTTGCTATAATGTGAAATCTTTAAAAACTAACAACCATTAGGAAGCAAGATGCTACTTCTCTTCCTCTTGTATCCTGTAAGAGTGTTAATGGGTCTGACTCTTCACAAAAGTATTTCTACTTTTTGTTTGATGTAGCTTTCAGAGCCAACTTTCTGCAAGATGAAGTAAGTGTCTGCATCAGCAGAGTGCACTTAGCTTTATGTTGGCAGCTGGGTCCTTGGTCAGCCTAGTGGTAATGTTAAACTTGCCCTTGATATGAATAGCGAAAATGTCTGTGTAAGTGTCAGTTTTAATGGAGTTTTAGATGATTACAAAACCAGGGGATTTGTTTACTTTTTCTTCCTAGATTCCTCCTGGAGATGTAGTAGGATTCCTAGATCTTCATCAGTAATGCTTGGCTCCCTTGGAACTGATCTGGTGAGAGAGCGAACACAGTTAGAAAGAAGAACAGATCTGTCTGTTAATAACCTGCTGGATCCCAGCTACGGAAACAGTGACTTTTCACCTTCAACATGTATGTTTCGTGTAACTGAAAGCTCATAAACCTACAGTTTGTATGGATTTTAGTTTCTTAACATGTTCATAGGTTCACAGAATGATTTGGTTTGGAAGGCACCTTTTGTTCCACCTCCTGCCATGGGCAGGGACACTTTCCACTATCCCAGATTGTTTAAAGCCTCATCCAATGTGGTCTTGAACACTTCCACGGATGGAGCATCCAAAACTTTGCTGGGCATGTTTTTTAATATTTTATTGAAAACATGAACACAAAATAGATTTTAAAGTATCCTTTTAAATAAAATTGGTTGGCCACTTTCCATGTGTTGACCAAACCATTGAAGGATATATGAATGGTCTAGCTTGTAGATGCATTGTGGTGTTGATGATCGCCACTGTAACTCTGCAATTACTCAGTAAAGCTCATTTCTTATTTGTCTTAAAAACTCTTTGTATTTAGGTATGGGAAGAGAAATAATGTTGATTTGACCCAGGGAAGTTTTTTCTTAAAGGTGCATATTATCTCTTTTTATTTGGGTTCTCAAATGGTTATTAGGGAAAACTGTTAGAACACTGAGAATAAAAATGAATAAGCACACACTTGACATGAGCTGAGAGGTTTGTCTCGTGGCAACTGCTAGGACTAGTAAGGACTTCAGCACTGTAATTTTCACTTTCTGTTCAGAGAGCTGTGATGTTCTAGAGCTGTCTCAGGGGAAGCTCACCATTAGTCTTGATCTGCAACTTTTAGAAAAGCTAAAAACTACTTTCAGAATTTGTCTTGGAGTCTTGCCTTGACAGAAGAGTATATTTTAATGTCATCATACTCATAGCACTTTTTAGTAAGTGGACATTCAGCTACTCTACCTGGTAGAACCTTATGGGAGAAGTGGACTGGGGAGCAGCCTTTGTACTGTCTATGCTGCATTTCTAGCAGCAGTGCTGCTATTAAGCGCTATTAATAAACTCCCAGCTGTGTTCCCTGATGTGTAATCAAAAGCATATGGTAGATGATTGGCATCTGTGCAGATGTTTAGTTAGCTGGAATCTGCCAGATAAATAAAGCTCATCTTGAGCAGTAAATTGTGATTGCAATGCAGCACCCATTAAAAGAAAGTCACCAAAACTGCAAAGATGAAAGTTTTAAAATTGAGACTACATAGAGAGCTTCTGTTTCCTACCTTCATCTATTCATGCTTGTTTCTTCTTCCCCCTTTTCCCACCCACAACCACCCAGTGCAGCTGTTTGAGGAAGGACACTAGCCACCTCAGCTGCTTCATGTGAACTATGGTTCATCTGCAGTGGAGTTCTTCTCAGTGTGTTGAGATACTCAGACAGCATTTACAGAAGATGTGCTTGTTAGAATGATAGAATGGTATGGGTTGGAAGGGACCTTTAAAATCCCCATGTCCAATCCCCCTGCAGTGAGCAGGGACATCTTCATTTAGGACAGGTTGCCTAGAGCCCTGTTGAACCTAACCTTGAATGTTTCCTGATGTGTATGTGCACATCATCATAGTATTTTCCTTTGCTTTTCTGCAACAGATCTTCAAGACAGGCCTGCCTCTTCATACGCAGAGGGAGCAAGACCAAAAGACAACTCATTAAGCACTTTGAGGCTGAATGCACCCATGAACCGCCAGTTGCCTTCTGATCATCAGCCATCTTTTTTCAACAGAGACTCTAACGTGAGCTCTTCAAGATCCAGCCATTCTTCAAGACAAAGGAGAAATGAATTGGAATCTCCCCACAGGAGTGTGCAGCCAGCATTTTCTCTTACTGCCATTAGAGATGAAACCCCTTCCTCAAGTGGTTCTGAAAGGATTTTATCTTCTCAGAGGTCACTGAATGAGTCTGCAGCTGACAGTGAAGGGAGGCGCACAACCAGACAGCTGCTGTCTCGTTTAGCATCTAGTATGTCATCCACATTTTTCTCTCGAAGGTCTAGCCAAGACCCATTGCATACAAGATCGTTAGGCCCTGAAGAGTCAACAGCGGTCCCAAGAGTTCAAGCTACTGCTCTGTCAAGTAGTAATGGAGCTGCAACTCCGGAGGTTCCAGGACTTCAGTCATCCGAAGCTTCTCAGGGGTTCAGTTTTCTTGGACGAAGATGGGGTTTATCAGGAGTTTCACAGAATCGCAGCTCTGATTCTGATGGGGAAAGTTACAGACCAGACACTGAAAGTAGGAGCACAGGATCCTGGTTGTCGTCCTCTTTGAGGAACAGATGTACACCTCTCTTTTCCAGAAGAAGAAGAGAAGGAAGAGATGAATCTGCAAGGATCTCTACCCCTGATACAGCTGCTAGATCACAACATGTCTTTAGAAGGAGAGGGTCAGGTGAGGAGACCTCTCTTGAAGCATCAGATAGCCCTCCTCGGGCTTCTGTTAGCAGACCAACGCCTTCAGTATCTGTTATTTCTACAGCTACTGCCTCCCCACCGGATTCAGCCTCCAGTGGAAGAGGTTCAGGAATTCTGCCTGCTTCTCTCTTTCGCTTTGCAGTGCCTCCAACATTAGGAAGCAGTCTGTCTGACAATCTTATGATAACTGTAGATATTATTCCCTCTGGCTGGAATCAGTCTGATGGACAAGAAAGTGGCAAGTCTAAAATACCACCTTCAAGAGATCCGGAAAGACTCCAGAAAATAAAGGAAAGGTAAGTTAGTATGTTCTTTTGGAACAGTAAAATGTACCTGTTCTAACCTGAGAGGGCTTTCTGCAATCATGATTTAAAAAAAACAACTTTCTTTTAGAGGAGGTGGCAACTCAGTTGTATTCTCACTTTTGTCTTTAAAGAAACTTTTAATTCTCATGGGTTTGAGAACAGTTTGATAAGTGGAATTCTCATTATAAAAAGTCCTGTGTGAAATGTCACAGTGTTTGTTGGTATTCCATCCTATTCAGCCTACTTTTAGAAGATTCTGAAGATGAAGAGGGTGACATATGCAGAATCTGTCAGATGTCCTCTGCAAGTTCTGACAACCTTTTAATAGAGCCATGCAAATGCACTGGAAGTCTGCAGTATGTTCACCAGGAGTGCATGAAAAAATGGCTGCAGTCGAAGATAAATTCAGGTAAAGCAAACTCTAGACCAAGGTAGACTTCCAGTTACACAGGGAGGCTTATTGGAAGGATTGCACCTACTGGGGTATTTAGTTGAAAAGCGAGCAGTGGGGACAAACAGTAGTATGGCACTTCCAGGCTTTTTGTGTTCTGTGCAGCTTCTCATGTGAATAGTTCCAAGAACTGTATTTTTTGTTTAGAGAACTGCATTTTTTGGGGTTGTCTACTAAGATCTTGGACAAAAAATAATGTTGCAGAAGTCTAGCTTTAAAATTACTCTGCCACTTCAGTTGTACCACTTTGGGTGGCATTTGTTCCCCACTCTTCCTTATGGAAATGGTTGTGTTTTTTTCCAAGACTTCTATAGCTGAGCTAACTGTTAGCAGTGATAGGAATTTGAAAATCCAGAATTTATTTTGAATTGTAACTAAAGTATGTTAATTTTTTCTTAAAGATATTAATGCCTATTCAAGGCACTTTAAAAATGCTTGTTCAAAAATTACTTAAAAGTGCGTATATAATTCTTTAAGAAACATTTCAGATATTGCATGCTGTAGAAATATTTTTGTAACAGATTGATTGACTGGTTTGTAACTGTTACAAAGTTATTATTAGCAGTATTCTTAAAAGTAGGTGGCTTGATAGAATACATGAAATACTTTATACCAAAGGAAGGTGCTAGTATCTGAAGTTTTTGCTCAGCACCAGAGGATACACATCAGCGAAGGGATGTTTTAGAAGTCTCAGCCTGTAGAAGAAAAAGAATTAGAATTATTTAGCTATATATGAAGACAGAAGTCCACTATCAACTTGCTTTGTTCATCTTGTTGCTTATGGAGGAGTCTGTTTTAAAACTGGTACTTAAGACAAAATGTTACTTAACAATAACTTTGTTGTGGTGTATTTATTCTTACTTTAGTGTGTATTTGAATTACACGGTAAAATTCAGAAAGCCCAAGAAGTGATTTTATGCCATACTTGCAGGAAGAAGCATATTAATGCCCAGAGTGAATGTGAGGCAAAATAGATGCAGCTGGATAGAGAATAAACATTCTACAGGGTTTAAATTCTGACAGTAGCAGATGTCACTACATTCCTATTAGAGGCTTGCTTTTCTTCTAACCTTGCTCTGCAAAATAAAGTCAAAAATTACGTAGAGTTTTTAATGTGTATATGAGTGTGTTGTTTGTTATAGACTGTTGAAACTTGACAGAGTTTTCCCCTTGCCCGCCACCCCACCAGGTTCTTCTTTGGAAGCAGTGACAACTTGTGAATTGTGCAAAGAGAAGTTGCATCTCAATCTGGAAGACTTTGACATTCATGAACTTTATAGGGCACATGCAAATGAACAAGTTAGTATATTTTACCTTATTTGGTAAGTGTTGCTTTAGCGCTGGGAGGGCAGTCTTTAGAGAAGCCAAATGCATCTCCATTTCAGAAGGGCTGTTATGCATATAAAGTAATGTTAATGTGGAACAGATTTTTCTCCTCAATATTCCAACTACCACTACCTTCCTGCTATGCTTCCTACAGCTGAGCTTTCAGTAAGTGTAACATATCTCTTTCCTGAGTTGCATATCTGTCATCTAGCTTTGTAATCCAGTGTCTGTGCCACATAGGTGCAGTGTGAGTTCTAGCATGATTATATTGAATTTCATACTCAGGCGTTGTTGTCACTTTTAGCTGTTTTTGAACACAGTTTAGCAGTTGTTTTAAACATAAAATTAAAAATTTATTTCATTAGAGTGGTAGAAACTAACCTCTGTTCTAGCAGTTTTTAACTGCTCCTTTTAATAATTTTCTAACTTAAAAATAAAGGCCCATTGGTATAACTTTTGGTATTTAAAATAGAATATCTTAGACCTACTGGACTGTGTAGTATTTAAAAAAGAGTAAATAACTCAGAGCTGGTGTTTTTAATGAACTTATTCAGAGGGGTTTTCCCTATTCTCTGGGTTGTAATCTGATGATATATGACGACTAATGCTATTATCCTATCTCGAATATTTAAAGAAAATACCAAGTTGTAAGAATCCATGCCAAGTGACATCAATTTTGGGGCAAAACATTGGGCTCTATTTTTTTTATTATTTAAAGTAAGTTCTTACCCTGGTACTCGAATTCCTATCAGTCGGGGAAGTCTCTGAAAAGTCTTTCTCAAGACATCTTGTTTTAGTGCTAGTGCTTATTGGTTACTGCCACTGCACTTTATTAGAAATAAGAATTTTGATTTTTTTTTTTTCCTAAAGAATTGACTAAATTATCTGTTCAGCAGTAGCATTTTTAAAATTTTTCTCTTATCTTAGCAGGTAAAGGAATTTCTCAAATATTTATAACATCATAACATTCTTAAAATATATTCCTCTATTTTGGCTTTCTGTAAAGCCTTGAGACCACAGAGAAGAAACCAGCAATACTGGTTTGATTTACCCAAGTGATCTAATACTCCGATTCGCACATTCTTTCCTCTGAACTAATCAGGCTGACAGATTTAATTTGTAGAACTCTATTTATCTTCAAGGATAACAGGTTAGATTTGGGGTGGATGGGAAGGACCAGAGGTATAAATAGCTTTTCAGCAACTTAAATTTTTTAGTATTACATTTTCCTAATTCTTTCGAACAACTACAGATAACTCTGTAATGATTTCATTAAAAATCTAATTGTTGTTCTACTTGAATCACATATGCAGATGTATTGCTGACATTCTGAATGTTTCTTTTGATCTCCTTTAAGGCAGACTATGAATTTATCAGCTCTGGTCTCTACCTTGTAGTGTTGTTACACTTATGCGAGCAGCGCTTTTCTGATATGTTAGGAACTGCAAATGAGGCCAGCACACGTGTCAGAGTAAGTATGCAGTGATTTTCTGGCAGGAATTACTCATACAGAGAACTTGGAAGCAGATTGTTACGTTGGGTGACCTAGGAGCTAGATACCCAAGAAACACACTTTTAAAACAAATTTAGGTTTAAAATGGGCTGTGCTTGTCAGTGTGCTGTGTTTGATTCGAAGCTGAAGGTACTACATAATTGCAGGTACTCTGCTACAGAATACTTTCTGTCAAAGTTGTTGGTAATTCATTAGTTAGCACACATTAGCACACAGCATACAGTTAGCATACATGTTGTCGTGATTATTGTGAATTTATGCAAAACTGGAAGGTTAAGGTCTCTCTGTGCCAAACATGCAGTTAAGAATGCTGGACTACCTGATTTGTTTAATTTTTCTCATTATGCAAGTCTATATTGCAAAGGACTAGAACTTGTGCTTGTCTAGTGCACTAGACTAGTGCTTGTCTGCCAGAGTACACCTAAATGTGTACTTGAATATTAACATTCTGCAACAGCCTATAGCTGTAGTGTGAGTTCTCTGGCATTAGTCCAAACTCTTTATTGCCTTTGACTGCATTCTTGTTGCTCTAAAGGTCCAGCTTAGGGACATGTTAAGTACACCTTTAACCAGTAAGAGATCAGCATACAGAGTTCTTTCTGCACAGTGATTCACTCATAAATCCAGTTTGCTACATGTTTATTTGATACTAGATAATTAATCAGTGCTCTTAGTCAACTGAGCTCCTGAAAAGCCGGTTATTTTTAGGTTTTTTTTTTCTTACATACAAATGAGTGACAGTATTATACCTTTTCCAGTGCATATGGGAATGATTGACTGCTAGCAGGTAGTAGATCTTTGGAAGAGGCAGGACTGTGCTCTACCTAATCTTTTAATGTATTAGAGCAGTGCTCCTCTTTTCTGTACAGATCCAACGTAGAGCTTGTATTCCATGCTCCAGTTTCTGTGCTACAAGTGTAGAGATATAAAAGACACATGATAAAATTGCAGTCAGCATCCAGCACAGATTGTTAGCTTGAGTGTATTGCAGAATATGTTTTTACTGGTTTCCCATCAGAGGAGGCATTACGTACTTCTGTGTGTGACACTGCATTTTAAACTAGTGAGAGCATCAATGCTAGTATTTTATATCAAGCATATGAGTAAGCTGTGGAAACTCTTGTTATCTGCTGTGTCTCAGTATCTGGGCTTTTAACTGAAGCAGTGATGCAGATTGGCAGTGACGAAAACCACTTGGCTGAGACTTTTTAATCGTAGGAATTTTGGCTTTGGGTTTTGATACCATATGTTTCTTACTTCAAACCACCACCATTGCCCAATAGTAATCATGCTCTTAAGATTTTAATTATAAACAAGAACTTAAGTGTATTTATGAATTTTTCCTGAACAATATTCATTTAGAGGGTTCTGTTTTTTTCATATTAGTCGTGAATTAAATTAAATGGATTTAACTAATGCAAGTCCTTACTGTGATTGTTTTTCTGCATCAGAGTTTCTAGGAAAGGTTTTCATTGAACCTGACACTTGTTTATGTTTGCTGCTTTCAAAATCGATGTGTTCTACAGACTGTAGAACATGAAGATGATGTCACAAGTTGCTACCACAAACATTTTGCAGCTGAAATAACTGTGTAATAGCAATTTGAAGTCTAGTGTGTGGGGATTTATGTTAAATTTTGCATTGTTTTTTGGAAGTTGGGCAAATGGTTTAGGTAACCAACATCTGTCATGAAGCTTTGGGATGTAAAAAGTGAAGAAAAATTTGCTAACTTGTTGCAAATTTCTGCAGATAACTTTGCAACTTTTAAACTACTTTCTCTCTGCCTTGTTTCTAGTTTATTAACCTTGCAAGAACTCTTCAGGCACATATGGAAGATATTGAAAGTAGGTGCTTCCCCTCTTTTCCTCCCCTCCCATTAGATCAACTCAAAGCTAATGAGTACAATCCTCCTTGCCAAGATTCATAGTACTGAATATAATTACTGAAAACCTTACTCAGCAGTGCTTTTTCCATCATCAGTAGAATTATTCTGAGGGGGAACCAATTTTAATTCTCCGTTATTAACTTCCCAACAGCACAGAGTTGTTTAGACCACAGTAGTGTTATCTGCAATCAATAACAGAATTCCTTAGTAGTTACACTTTGGTTATTGTAGTTCTGGTAATTCATAATTACAGGATAAATGGTGACCTTCAGGTTGCTGCCTTTTACAAGAGAAAGTAGGAAAGAAAGTAGTATGAAAGAAGCATTTAGAATTGAATTTTACTGTATTTAGATTAGACACTTGTATTGCCAATTTTCGTCCCTTTCTTTTTCTTGCCCTCTTCTCCCCTTTGTTTTTTCCATTCATACACACTTTTTGGTTGTGTGGGTTCCTTGATCAGATCTATCAGACCTCTTGAATGAAGTCTGAAGGTTGCCAATTTTGGCAAACCAAAGGATTAGCCTGCCTTTCATCTAATGGCTTTTTTTTTTAATGTGTTTAAATTCAAAACTATATGCTGATACATCTAAATTTCTGGTAAATATACCCTGGATCTATTTCTGAGCATGTTGAATAGGCATAGAAGGGTAGTTGGTCTACCCTTTTTTTCCTAGTGTGCATGTGTCTGTCAACTTCATATGGGTTTTTAGTACTCAGGATGCATTTGGAATACTATAAAGAAAGGGAGTGTGTGTGTGTGTGTGTGTGTGAAAGAGGGAGTTCTGGTTCAAGGTGATTATTTCTGCATTCAGAGTGGTCAAAAGTGGACATGAGTTATGAATTCATTCCTAAGTTATGTGCATCCTTACTAGTGGAAAAATTAATGAGTGTCATTTAACTCCTTAGTTCAATCTATATTTGATTTAGCCTTTAACTTGCAGGTGAGGAATACGGACTTGTAGATTTATTATTGATGCGCTTCAGTTACATTTCTCTTCTAAGAACTGAAGAAGCAAGGAGTCAGACTTTTCTTCTTTCTGTGTTCAGGGATGGAACATGTTACTCCAGTATACATACTTTCTTGTCTGCAGACCTGGCTTAAGAGGACACATTAAATTCCTGTTATAGAGAGGAACATTTTACAAACCTAATGTAGATGTGTGTATGGACTTTTCTACCATAGTTGACAAGTGTGTATTTGTCTTTTGACTCACCTTGCAACGACAAAATCCTGTGCATATGCGGGCATTGGGTTCATCTTGCATATGCTGAAAGGACAGGAGTGGAGTAGAGGAGCTTCTTCCAAGTAGGCCCAGGTTGCATTAAGCTATATATATATATATATATATATATATATATATATAAAATGTAAGAGTCTGTTTAGACTGCTGGATCATTCTAGGTATTTTAGTATCCAAATTGTTAACTTGGTGTTAACTTATGTTGGGTGCTGCTGTCATGGATTGAGTATATCCTCCTCTGACTACTGCTGGAATTAGCCACGTTAAGCACTACATAAAAGTTGAATCTCTGGCTTAATTAAGTTTTCTCCCTCTTATTTTGAGGAAGGAGAGTAGGAGGGCACAGCATATTGTATGTTCTGTTGAGTTTTGATTTGAAAATGCTGCATTTTTAGGACATGAGATGCATTTAAGAATTAAGTTATGTGATTACTCAAGGTTTGGGTGGGTATTGCAGTCTGCTATTTAATATTATAAAATCACTTCTATTTCCTCTATTCATCCTAAAGTGCTTTAATTTTCACACATTTTTGTGAAGGCTTCTGATTACACTGTGTTGTTCCAACAGCTTCTGAAGATGACTCTGAAGACTGATGCTGGTAGAACTTTCATACTGCAAGAAACAAACAGAATTGCTGCAGAAATGCTGAACTGGCAAGAACAACATCAACACGCATTTGTTTTATACCTCTCCTTAGTAAAATGCGCATTGAATATTACTGTAGTTTTTGAAGCATTGTTGAATTCAAAATCAACTGCTGCACAGTGGAGCTCAGTAGACTTGAGAACTACTCAGCATGTGTGCGGATTAGATACATAGAAAGCAACTTCCCTTTTTAAATTATGAGGATGTTGTACTTTGTTTTGGAAGACATCGGATTCTGAATATTTAAGGAAGCTCTATCTCCCTTTGTGTTTTCTTCTTACTGTAGTCAGACTTCTGGCTTTGTCTTACCGGGTTTTGCTCCTGTACTGGCACTAAGTGGTTATAGGGGGTTTCAGGGGGAGGGTGGGGATGCCTGTGTACTTAAATAGGTTTTGTTAAGGTGTTCTTAAATGCCTCTTTTGCTGCATCATATAACTGATTGCTTCCATTGTTAATGAATGAACAGGAGGATAAGCAAGATACCGTAGAGATTGTTTGGATTTAGGCTTATTTGAAGACTATTATTTAACTGAAAAAGCAATAAGAACTTGCAGTGGTCTTTTAATACTTGGCGATGGCTTTTTTATGTACCAGTTTGGAAATTTGAGATTATATTTGATATCATGTGGCTGTTCCATTATGGAATATTGCAGGTGTGAACTCTTGCATTTCAGCATTCCTGGCAGATATGCAACTTGATAAAGACCTAAGGTTGTTTAGTTTAATCAGACTTTTTTAGATCCCACCTTCACTGTTCAAAGCACCAGTTATCAATGTGTTTTCTAGTGTTGTCACTTCTTTATAAATAAAGACAAAAGAGGTATGCATCTCTACTGGTATTGTCCATTTCATTTAAATGTGGATATCTACCAGAACTTACACTTGAAAACATAGAAAGCTGGAATCTGTGGGATATCTTCACTGTTTCTGAATTCTTACGCAGATATTTAAGATTGTTCTGACCATTTTGGATTGAAATGCTTTCTATAAATGGTGATACAATAAATTCTTATACATGTATTGGAATTGTATGTCCTACAGGTACGTGTTAGTTTTGTAATTACCTCAGTAAACAATGTGTTGGCAAAGAGTGCAGTATGTTGAAATGCCATGAGTTTAGTTCATTGTTGCAGTATGTAAAACTAACTTGTGCAGAGGAAAGGATGTGCCTTACCAGCTGAAATGAACTCATGATTTGCAGAGTTAACTTTGCTAGCATTACACGAGTTGGCCTGTCATCTGTAAGACTTGAAAGAAAATGGAATGCTAAGGAAATGGCATATTTCTATGCCTATTCTAGTAACTTTAGGCATTCAGTGCCAGCACTTACAAGTATTATTCAGTAATTAGTTGAAATACAGCTCCAGGACATTAATCTGAAAAGTGAAGCTCCAGGCATATGTGAAGATGTTTCTGACTCATTTATGAAGAAGATGAATTGAAGCTTATAATAAATGTTCAATCCTTGCTGAGGTAGATGGTACCGCTTAATAAAATGTCATACAGTGAAGCAGTCAGTATTTTATATGCACTCAATACATTTAGGGTTACAAGCATGGGTTCTGATACCCTAATAAATTGATGACTTGAGGGATATTTAAAAAAATTTTCCCTCACTCTTTGTAACAAAACAAAGAGTTGCACAAAGGTGAGCAATGTAAGGAGCTCCACGTACAAATGCAGTTGAAGCGATACGTGTGTTTGATGTTCTGCAGCCTTGTTGAGCTTCATTGCAAATGAGTGACATGGGTGAATACCCAGGGGAGTTGCTGAAGAGTAGAGGGTCTGAATGCATCAGCTGGGAGGAATGGTGTCAGCAGACCCAGCTCCCTTCTCCGAGGAGATCTGCCTTGCAGCCCTGATGCCGCACAGTTTTAGATGGGTAGAGCCTGGCAGCAGCCAGGTTAGTTGTCATCTATGTACCTGTGCTGTGAGATCTCTGTCCATGAGCGCACCTATCTGTGCAAGCTCTTGTGGGTCCATGCAAGCGGATTTTTGTTAGCACACCGCACGAGTGTCCATGCAGGTGTCTGTGCAAACATGCATTTTGTCTTGTCCGCACATGCACGCGCCCTGCTAGTTCCCAGGGTTTTAAGACGTGAGGAATAACTGTGGCTTGTTGCTGGTTCCAGCAATTCATAGGCATACCTGATCGTCAGTGGTGGGCCTAGATATCCCTAATGATGCCGGTGATGACAGATCCATGTGTGAATGGGAACAAGCTGCAGAATTGAGTGCCTCATCCCATCCTGAGGCCAGTTTAGAGCTGTGAGGTTGACAGGATGCAAAGATGTTCAGTGCCACCGTGAGTATTTAGGGCTTTGGCTCCTGCAGAGCTCCTTGGTGCTCTGCTGGATGTGCTCCAAGTGTCTATCCTGGCCTCCTGAGTTGGGGGTGAGAAGGAGTATACTTTTCCAGTATACTGGAAATTCTGACTTTGGCTACTGTGTGTGCAGTGCAGTAGTCTTTTGTTCTGTGCCACCCTCACCTGCCAGGTTGTTTGCACTGCACTGACCTGCCTTGTTTGAAACATCCATCTTGCGCATTGCTGCGCTCCTCCCAAACCTAAGCACGGGCTGGGCTCTTCTGCTCGTTAACGCTGAAAATAAGAAGGCTGTACGTGTGCAGCACAGAGGATCTCACCCGTGAACACGAACTCTGCAGCGCCGTGCATGCACAATTAAAAAGCAGTAATAAAGCTACTCAAACATAAAAACACCCAGCAAAAATGCGTGCACATAGCGGCAGGACTCAAAAAAGCAAAGGGACGAGGGACGACTCGGAGAGCGGCGCACGCGCAGCACAGTGAGTTACTGCGCATGCGCAGCGGCGGGCCGGGGGTAGGGAAGCTGCGTCTAGGGCAGCTCGCTGTCTCCACCTGCTGGCTGACAGGAGGTGATGCTGACTCGGGAGAGCCACGGTGTGCAGGGAGCGGCCGCAGCTGCGCACGCGCAGTGCCCCGGGACCGCCGCCCACACGGCGCGGCTTCTTCCGCTCGGTGCCGCCGCCTCATGCTGTAACAAACGTGCCGTACCGCAGCCGGGACCTCACGCCTTCCCTGGGTGCCGCCGCCTCGTGCTGTAACAAACGTGCCGTACCGCAGCCCGGACCTCACGCCTTCCCTGGGTGCCGCCGCCTCGTGCTGTAACAAACGTGCCGTACCGCAGCCCGGACCTCACGCCTTCCCTGGGTGCCGCCGCCTCGTGCTGTAACAAACGTGCCGTACCGCAGCCGGGACCTCACGCCTTCCCTGGGTGCCGCCGCCTCGTGCTGTAACAAACGTGCCGTACCGCAGCCGGGACCTCACGCCTTGCCTGGGTGCCGCCGCCTCGTGCTTGTCCTGCCCTTGTGGGGCCACAGTGCCCAGAGTGCAAATCGCACAGCTGTGGCGGTGCTGCCGCCAGGCATTCGTAGTCTCCTGTTGCTTCTGTGGCCTGAATTGCTTCCAGTCAGCAAGAATTGTTCCCAAACGTCATCCCCTCTGGAGCTCGGTAAGGTTGTGTTCCCCGAAGTCCAGGTGCTGCTTCTTGGTGCTGTGTGCACTTCTTGCCTTTGACTGCTGTGAGCAGTTTTGTGTTGCAGCTCAGTGAAGTCCAGTTCAGTGGTTTCTATACCAGAAACCCCTTTAGTGAGCAATCAAAAGGGAGGTTTCCTGTTCCTGCTATATCTTGGCTTTCTGGAATTGCTATATCCTCTTGCATGCCGTATGCCTGAGAGAATTCATGCCATGATTCCTCCAATTTGGCACTAGTCTGTACCTTGCTTGGGGCACAGAGCATCCTTGAATGCATTGTTAGGAATCTTAGCACGGAAGATACTTGAGATGTGAAGCTGGAGATCATGCACGTGTTTGAAAAGCAGAAAGGTTTACTGGACTATTGTCACGTTGTTTTGAATGCAGCAAAGGAAGGCCGTCTATTGGCTGGGCCTGTCATTTGCGCTAGCTCAGCTCTACTGTACAGAAAAAAAATGTTTAGTGCTTTGGGGTTGTGCATTTCAACTGTAATGTATTGTCAAATTTGTCTAATGGGTCTTGCATGAATTTTATGTGTTAATGTTGTTGCAAAGCTAAAGGCTGAGAGGGAATGCTGTCAGTAATACAGAAAATACTACTGTGGGCATAGAATGCATCTGAATACCTCTGAAGAGACTGTGCTACCTCTTACCTGGACACTCCCACCCAAATAGTTGACTTTAAAAAGAAAAGCAGACAGCATGTCTTTTGTTTCTTCTGGTTGCTGAGGACTGTTACCTCCTGTTGAGACTCTTGAGACCCTGCAGCTTCTTTTGTACGTTGGCAACTCTGTTGTGGCTTTAATTTGTTCTCTACCCCTATAATAAAGGTGGACTATGCACGACTGTATACACCATCTCCTGAACTAGTTGGATGTTATGGGGAATGCTAAGAAGGTGACAGATCAGTTGTTGTTTTAAAAACAAAGGCAATTCTTTGAGATGATTCCAGAGTACAAATCTCACACTCAGTTGTTGCTTTATTGCCATTGAGGGTGCTTGCTTTTAAGTTGATGAACACTGGTAGACTGTCTTACTTTGTTTGAACAGCCATGGTTATTTTATCCACCTCCAAAGCTTGGGAAGAAACCAAAACAGTGTTTGGAGATTGTTTAGAATAAAGCTGGTGTTCCAAGAGTGGAGGAGTAAGCACTCAGGAGTCATTTAAGGAATCAGCTTTCCTCAGCATGAGAGGAACCAGCCATGGGCACTGCTGTGTAATATGGAGCACATGCAACCACTGCATCTCTCCGAGCAGCTGAGAACATACCTTCCAGTGTTTTGCAAGCAAGATAGCTGTTTTACTTTTTTGTGTAAATATTTTGGCAATAGAATACAGGGACTCATATCTATGTGTGTGGCTGGGTGCCTCTCTGTGGATATTTAGGTATCTCAAAGAAAAGTGCCTGTACTTGTGACTGGGACCATTCTGAGAAGTTCTTTCTTTGCTGTCCTTCACAGGAGGATATTACTTGAGAAGCGCTTATGGAGCACTTTTGCTGCTCAAGAAATTCCAGGAAAAACAAGCTGCCCAGCTATCAGTGCACCAGAAAAGCTGACCAGTCTGTCAGCATCCTGTTACAGGGACCCTTCATTGAGCAGTCCTGCTGGATTGGAGGGAAGTCTGACTGACATTCACGGAAATAGGCCAAGAACGTAATGGAGACCCCTCAGCAGGTCTTTCCACTTTATGACCTCTCAGTAGGACTTCTTATTTGAATATGTTACCTGCTGCTGGCAACTGCTAGCATCCATGAAGGAGTCACACTTTGGAATTTTATAGAACAGTTTATGGAACTATGCTTTTTATGAAATTGTGACAGGTTAAGGTTCAGGAATTGTTGGTGATGGTATCTGTCAGTGATAGTATTTGACTGCAAAAACTCACTCAAAGCAATATACGGAGAAGTTGTAGTCCCCAATAAAAATATTCAGCAGGCAGAGTGCATTTCTAACCCAACAGGGGTTCCTATGGGGCAGAAGACAGGTTCAGCCCATTGACTGATCCCAGCAGTTATGATGGAGCCTTCACTAACTTTTTCTCCATTCTTGGCTTACTTTTATAGTATTTCTTTATATTTAGGTGAAGCTTGAGTGACTCTACTCATGCATATATTTGCTACTGACTGGTGTAAAATCCTCTCACTTCACTTTCAAAGATACAATCAAAAAAATGTATAGGGCTCATTTTCATTGAGAGGTTTTCATAATTTGGAGGCAGTTAACTTTGGGATGGAGGTGTGCATTAATATTACAATTAGGCTATAATAAACCACGTTCATCTGAGGAAAGCGATTTTGCCACATTGCTAGCTTGGCAGCAAGACATCTCTCTCACAGCTGCTATGCAGTTAATCAGCTTCAAAGTACCATCAAGTTGCTGCCAAGGATTTTGGCAGAGCCTGGTCGAGGTATCTCCATTCCACTGCACCCTTCCCTTAGCAGGTGCTTATGGTTGTATGGGGAATCATTGTGCAGCATGCCAACCCAGTTCCATCCTGGGAACAGCATCTGTATTTTACCCTAAAATTTCTGTCCCGTTGTAACTCCTGTTAGGATACAAATGTAACTTAGTTTTCTCTGATTTTACCCTCAGTCATCTTTCCATACAAACATTGCTCCCCTCTCCAGAGGATTATTGTGAGCAGATGTGAGCCCTGCTGTCCCTTTGGACTGAGAAAGACAGGTTTTTTCCCAAGTTCCTTTTGAACCTGTTGTGCACCTGTTACAAGTCTTCAGTCTCCTGCAGTTTTGTGGGTCAGTCATGTGTAGAACAGCACAACTGGCTGGCATGCTTTGCTTGTGAGGGGAGACAAGAGAAGAATCCCTCTGTTCACACCAGACTTGCAGCTGCCAAACCTCACCAAAGCACCTGAGGAGCCCCCAGGGATTGATGGCACAGAGGGAGCTGATGGAGGACAGCACAGCAGGCAGCCTGTCCTCCCATCAGGTCTGGCTTATGGTGCCACCCTGAGGGCTTCCCCTGCCTTTGGGCAGTCCCAGCTACTGCAGCTCACTTGACAGAGACTCACTGTCTATACTGTGCTTGGCTACACTGGAGAGGATGAAGCTGAGGACAGCAATGGTTGCCTTCACATCCCCTGACTGCAGACGGGAGGGAGGGCGAGCTCTGTCACCTTGGGAAGGCATCTGCAGATTCATTGCTGCCCATCTCTGGAGCATGGCTCTATCGGGGGATCGTGGTAAGGACAGCAGTGCTCACCTAACTTTGCACCTGAGGACAGCTTCGGGATCTTGTCATACTGTGGGAGAGCAGAGCTTCACAGTAAACACCAGCTAACACGCTTACTACCAGTGTTAACACTAACAATTCTTACCCAAATATTAATACTAATAACACTTACTATGCATATTATTAATGCTAGTAGAGGCTGGTAGCGTTCTTAACGCTGAGGCTTGCATGAAGAACACAAAATTAATTAATGTTGCTGATTATGCTATTGTGGTGTTGAAATACTTGGCCTCCACTGCAGTAGCCCCACACTTACCTCGATGGCCTCCCCCAGCACGTCCCGAAGCACTGGGATGCAGATCAGCTTAAGCATCACTGATGTGATAAACAGAGTTCACTCTTAAAAATTTTTAAAAGTTTAATAAAGGATAAAAGGACAAAATAATCTAGCACTGGGGTGCTTTTGGCACCCGGCCACAGAGCACAGAGGTAGCTTAAAATCATGTTCAATATATATGGTTACATTGCTGGGGTTACACGCATATTCATTAGCTTATACATTATTCAAACATTCCTTTGAGTTTTTGGTGTTCCAGGAACTCTCTTGTTTGGTTTTAATCTCTGACTTGTCTGCAGAACATTCTGTAAATTAGGTCTAAATATTTTATTTCTTCCTGTAGTTTTATCCTGTTGCTTCACACTCCCTGATAGCGCCGACAGAGCTGATAAATCTTCCTGGATGCTTATGCTTTGTTTTTGTCACTGTTATCTTATCACTTGGCCGGGCCAATCCGCAGATACAAGAAACACAGTAATTGCTTTACACCATTCTCTGAGGTAGTTACATAGAAGTATTTTAGTTTCTATTTTAACTTTCTGTTAAAGCCTACGATGTATTTATCACACTACTATTCATATGAAATACACAGTGCATACATAAACTGGCATATTACACAATACAAAGCAGTTAAAAGTAAGTACAAGTTGTACCATATCAAAATACTTGTGATGCAAAAAGCTAATCTATGAATGGGAAAGCCAATATTGTTTTATCATCTATAACATCCGACCACTGTGGGGGAGAAGGAGGGTGAGCAGCGGGCCCGCAGCGGGCGGGGGGACGCGGGCACGTAACTTTGGCCAGGGTGCTGATCTCGGCTAGTCGGGGCAGGCCAAGTCCCCGCAGAAGCGGAAGCACTGCAGGGGAAGAGGCGCCCAGAGCCCGGAGCGGGCTCTGCACGCCCTCCCCACTCCCCGCTGCCAAACCCTCTCCTCACCATGTCGCCGCCGCTACCAAACCCCCTCTTCACCAAGTCGCCGCCGCACCCTAGTCCGCGCTGCTGTCGCAGAGTCCGCCTTTGCGACCCGGAACCACTCCCGGGCTGCACCACCCCCACCGCCCCCCTCCCCGCCCCTGCCCCGAGTGCCGATGGGGCGCTCCGGTAGGGGCTCTGCGGGGGTCTTTTCGCCGGGACCTGGGCACGAGAGAGGGCCGGATGAGGGGACGGGGGAGGGTCTCGCGAGCGGGACCCACGGCGCCCGCGGACCCTTCGGGCAGCCCAGGCTCCGCCCCACGCTCCCACGGGCCGCAGCCTCACGGCTCCCAAGACTGCCAATCCCGGCCCGCCTTTCTCCGCCCGCCCTGTCCAATCACAGCCGCCCTTTCAATCCGGGCGCGGTCCCGCCAATCTCAGCCCGCTCAGTCGCGGCCCGGCCCCTCAGCCTGGCCCCACTCCCCCGTACGCCTGAGGCGCCGCTCCCGCCACCGCCGCTTTGGGAGCCGGCGGAACTGTGTCCCCGCTGCCGCTGCCTCGGCAGGCGCTGTTGGGGCCGGGAAGGGCGGGCCGGGAGCGAGCTTCAGTTCAGGTCCTGACCGGGATCAGGTTCTGGTCCAGGGAAACGGGCAGACGGCGGGGAGCGGGCGGACGCGGCCCCTGCAATGGCGGCGGGAGGTCGCGGAGCCGAGCGCGGCGGGAATGGGCGGGCTGGGATTGGTGGGGCCGGCAGGCGCTGCCTCGGGTTGTGATTGGCTGGCTGGTCCGGCCCTGGGGCATAAATAGCGTGCGTTGAGGCGCCGTAGGCGTCAGTTCGGCGGCGGAGCTGGAGCGACGGGAGCTGTGGGTGCGCGATCTGAGGAGCGGCGCTGCGCCGGGACGGGACCCCAGTGGCAGCTGATCCGGGGAGCGCTGGTGAGCACGGACGCGACGCCTGCGGCAGCATCTGGGAGCCGGTTGTGTCCAGTTCTTTCTGCCGCGCCCTGCGCGGCTCGGGTAGCTGGCAACTGGTGTGGGGCCTGGAGTGGCGCGGGGGGGAACCGAGTGTTGTCACTGGGGGCCGGGAAGTAGCCGTTCCGCGGTTTCTGGATTTAAAGTATTGTTCAGAATACGAGGAATAAAGCTTGCTTTTTTTGCATTTTTATTACTTTATTTTGTTTCTACTTATAATGATTTTTTTCTTTATTGTGTTATTTTATCATTGCTGGTTTTATTACATCTTTTTGGTTTGATTTGTTTACTAGATATCTGACATTAATTCAGTAAGGGTTGTGGGACTGGGGCTGAAACACCAGTTGTGAGATCAGTGGGGACATAAAACCCCAGGAATAATGATATCGACATGAGTCAGGCCCAAAACAATGTGGAGCGGTGGAAATGCTGGGGCTAGAAAAATGCCATGGGAGAAGGGCACGGAGCTGCAGCACAGGGCCTGCAGGACATGCCTGGGGCTTCCCAGCCCCTGCCCCGTGGTACCAAGCAGAGAGGCTGCGGGTGTGGGGGCTCAGAGGGTTCCAGGGCCCAAGAACCAGCCCAAGGGTGCCTTTTGGGATGGGGGAGCAGGAGCCCGGTGGCTATTCCCAGCCCCTGGAGCTGCCTGGGAGGAGGTGAGGGGGCCTTTGTGCAGGTGCTGGGCTGAGAGCCAGAGGGAGGGAGAAGGTAGATGTTGAGCTTCAGGCCTCAAGTGTCCCCAAAGTTGGGATCCCGCTGGGGTGGGTGGGACAGCTTCTAGAGACATTGAAATGATGGCAGTAATTGATTTGTGACCTTATCAACAGCCCCAAGCTGCAGTGAGAAGCAGGAGCAGCTTTTAGCTACAGCCAGTAGGAAGCTGAGGAGCTGGAGCTGAGGCAGCAGAGCTGGAGGAGACAGAAATATGGTAGGGTTTGGGGTAAAACCCCTGTGGGAATGTGGAGCTGGGAGGTGAACTGCAGGGTTGGAGCTGAAATTGCTGTTAAGAGCTGCGATCTGAGCTCAAACCACACAGAGCTAGAGCTAAAACAAAGATCCTGCCCTAAGAAGCAGTACTAGCGTTATGTGGCACTGCTGTGAAGATGTTGAGCAGGAAGTGGAACAGAAGAGCTGGCAGTGAAATAAAGCTTGTGGGACTGGAGCTGAAATCACTGGGGCCAGGGTGGGGACTGCAGTGCTGCAGCATCCATTACTGCTCAAAGGGAGACTCACTGTAGATCTGAAGAGTAACCATAGAATGAGACACACAAATGAAAAATCTGGAAATAGAATGATGACTACCAGAATGGGGTGAGAACGGTGATACTGAATGTGGATATGAAACCCCAAAACTGCAGCCGAAGCCAAAACCCTGTTTCAACCTGAGAGCAGCTTTGCCTGTCAGAGCTAGAGAAAAGTGCCAGCTAGGAGGGAGAGAGCTGGCAGTGAAATACAGCTTGTGGGTCAACAGCTGAAATCACTGGGGCTGGGAAAGGGGAATGGTGGGGTTGGGATTGAGACTGC